CCTTTTAGTGGTGGTGCTACCACTGGGGACAGACTTATTTAACTAAGATCCTGCTTTTACATGACCGTGAGCACCAAACAACTTTTCCAGATTAGTATTACATTCAAACAAAAATTTGTCATGTTGTATGAATTAGAATGTTTTTGCTGTTTCAAGTGCTGGTTTTCATTATCCTTCCAAAAGCCTTGATGATAGCAAAGTAAGCTGCTGTTTAGGACAATAACACCTGTACTTCTTAGTGGGAACTAGACTGATTTAAAAAAAAAAAAAATCAGTTTCTGTGAATCAAGCACATGATATTAGTAAACAAAAAAGATCTTAATGTTATACCAGAAACAAAACAAAAAAAATCAGTCAAAGCTTTTGTGGCAAATGTTTTATTTTTCAATGATGGACAAAAGAAGAAACCACAAGATGTCACTCTATCCTAAGAAGCTGAGAAGCACTTTCTCATTGTCAGTAATCCTGTGGGAGTGTTGGAAAGCTGAATATCCTGGATGGGGACTCAACTGTATGTAGGTCTTTGTAAAATCAATGGGAGTTGCTTAAGTTTGAGAGTATAATTAGACCCAGGTGCCTGAGGTTAATAATCAGGGCGAGGGGGCTGGAAACAAAACCCCCTGCTTTGTGTTGCAAATTTTTCTCTGATTCTTAATAAGAGATTGCTGGATTAAGTTCATTGCTCATAGGGAAATTTTTATCCAGTTCATAGCCTGCATCATTGTATTGTTTACTTGGTGTGGGGTGAAGTAAAGCAAAAATTTGGTTTTTTTGAACCCATCTCCATGAGCAGCAGTAAAGGTGTACTGTGGTTCCTTCAGAGTGTCACACACATTTTCTTGACTACAAGAGAGACATGACTAGGGTTGAAGTTGTCGATGTGCTGGCCCTATTATTCTGCTGTTGTTCTCCAATGCTTACTTTTATTTCCCCCTTCACTCACTGCCTTACATACAGTCACTAGAATTTCTGTGTGAACAGATTCCCAGCATGTTCTCCTTTTGTACAATGAGGTTACACCATTGTCAGGTGTTCTGCTCTCTTAATGGGGAGGAGGCAATTTATTTGTTATGAAGATTTTCTAAAGAAGACAACAAGGCGTACTGAAAAAGCAGTGTTTACAAGATAATTCTTGAGTTGTTTCTGTCCTTTTTAACAGGCAATCTTTGCTTTTGTCCGTACACTGGAAAATGAGAATACATGGATTAAAAAGAGATGAATGGTTTACCCTCAAAACCCAGGGCCAGGGAGGAGGAAAATGGTACCTTAGGAACTCAGATAATAGCAGCAAGAAGTGAGTTTACTTCCCCTGTGAGCTACTTTGCATCTACTGATGTAATTGATGAGAAATTGTAGATTAGTTCAGCTTGTAAAACTGTTTGCAGTCCCCAAGGATTTTGCATCAAGCTGCAGTAGTTACAGGGGTCCAGACAGAGTGGAGATTCTGCCAGCTTACTGGGGACCTCTGTTAATTGGTTCAGTAGCTTGTCTTTGGCTTCCAGCTGGCATTGCTTAAGGCCTATAAAACAAAGTTACACATGGGAAACCATTTGCAATACACAAACATAGTTGGTACTGTAAAACTCAAGAACAGTGCATATCTGTTACCTCCAACAACCAGACCTCAAGTGACTTTCTCCTTATATAGGACTGCTTTTACTACAACATCCACATGAATGGTTTTCATTTCATAGCAGCAGTTAGAAGCCTGAGTTCAGGACCAATTTCTCTAGGCATTAGGCAAACAGAATAAGAAGACAGATAAAAGTCATGTAATACAATGCATTTTCAATTGCAGTTTGTAGACAATAGCATGGTGTAATAGCCAAGGCTGTAAGGCTAAGGAAGGATATCAGACTTATTCAGGGCCAATCTGGCAGGCAGGTAAATGGAGAAAGGTGAAAGTGAATGTATTATCCAACAATAGGCGAGTCTCAGCTCCACTCACTATCTTAGAAATTGTTCAGACTTTTTCAAACCAGTTTACAAATGCAGCCTCCAGAGTCTGTTAATGGCTGTGCCTAGAAGTCAGGCAGATAGATGCAACTCCAAACCAAGAACAGCAAAGCTCAAAATGTTGGCAGCTGTTCCTGAAAAGCATGATATACAAAAATCTTCACAACAGTCTCCACTTTTGACTGTGATCAAATACCCTGAAAGTCTTTTTCTTAATGAAGTGTTTGCAACACTGTCTTCTAGAAATTAATCTGGCAGATAGTGGTAGTAAAATTTTAGGTCTACTAGGACTTGGCTGCGGAAAAATATTGAAATTGTTCCTGCAGCTGGGGAACGTAGCCTAGTGCCTGAGTTTTTATCTTTTCAGCCACACGGAATCATGATATGAATGATGT